CAACTCGTTAGTATCCTCACGGTGTAGATTAACACAAGAATTATTTATAAACAACACTTGGTCTACCTTAAGATTCGCCTAACCTAGTGAATAACACGTCTCAAGAACATAAAACATAAGAACATAAGAATGGAAGAAACTGCAGCGGGCCTATTGGCCCACACTGGGCAGTCCCATTTACACCCAACTCCTATTGCTCATATAGGTAAACATTAGTTTGGAAATAGAGTAGTGGATGAGTGGAACAAGTTACCAAACATCATCATTAACTCGAATACGCTGGATAGCTTCAAACATAGGTTGGGTGGATATATGACCGATAGGGGTTGGGTGTAAATGGGACTGCCCAGTGTGGGCCAATAGGCCCGCTGCAGTTTCCTCCACTCTTATGTTCTTATGTTGAGTGTGTGGAGTGTGTGTGTGTGTGTGGAGTGTGTGTGTGTGTGTGTATACTGTTCTTACATACATCAATCAGGCCTCGCGTGTGTAATGTTGCTCGTCACACTCAAGCGGGGAGGAGTAATGTGTGTTATGTCGGCTCCAAGTGTTTTGAATCCACAAGTGTTTTGAATCCACAGTCATCCCTCGAGGCAAGATGTGATTTATACCTGCTCTGCTGGAGAGATTGATCGGTACTTTTTTAACGCACCCCCGGCCTTATCACTCCCCTGACTCCTCACTGCACCCCCGGCCCGTTCACTCATCTGACTGTTTATATCTCTTTATCTGTATGTTTGTTTGTGTGTCTGTCTATCTGTGTGTGTGTGTGTGTGTGTGTGTGTGTGTGTGTGTGTGTGTGTGTGTGTCTCAGCAACACCCTCGACATCCTGGAGATCCCGACGATCATCATTACTTCAGATTTATCAGAATATCAAAACATCTTACACGTTGTTTACATGTTGTCACCAGCTGATAACTCTCCAGATATTCACCCACCTCCCCCTCGACCCACCTCCCCCTAACACTTTCACTGTATTATCACCGCCAAGAGTTTTCACGCGGTAACATCACAGTCTGTCTTCTCTCATGAGGTGAGGTTAGGCAGGTCAGGTCAGGTCACGCTTGGGGGTCCGTCAGCCAGGTAGATGCCGTGTCTCATCTTCAGGTTGCAAGAGAATTCATCCATTAACAATCTTGACCCCAATACCATAATACTGCAGAAGATAGAACCATGACCTTGCTCTCCTCCCCTCTCTACGTCCCTCCGTCCTTCTCTTACCCCCTACCTTCTTCCTCCCTTCCTTTCCTCACTCCCTCTTTCCTTCCTTCCACTCCTTTAACTTCCTCCTTTACTCTTCCACGCTTCTCTCCTTCCCACACCCTTCCTTCCTCTCCTCACTCCCTCACCTTTCCCTCCCTCCCTCCTCAGGTAAAGGTTGGGTCCTCCATCTACCTGGTCTTATCACAGTCACAGGTCTTGACACTCCCTAGCTGACCTTCCTATCTATCTCTCCATCTATCGTCTTCCACTGTCATTATACCTCTCTCTCTCTCCACTGTTATCATACCGATTCACTATGTATATACTGTACAAACAATACACGTATACAATGTACCAAGAGAGTATAGGTATACAATGCAGGTATACCATATAACTAGAATGTACAGGTAAACAGGTAACTCGACAGTACAGGTATATAGACAGTCTTGCGGGTTGAATCACGTTAGGACGAGTAGTGACGTGTACAATATATGCTGCAGGCTGCTCCCCCTCTTTCTCTCTCTCCTCCTCCTCCTCTCTAACTCTCTCTTCTCCTCTCCCCTACCATGTCGCCTTGGCAACAGCTCGCGCGCACAGAGAGGTGAGGTGGGGGGGTGGGGGGGGCAGCACAGGAAGGGCGTGTCAAGATATGCTACGTTTCATCAAAATTATAGAAGGAACAGGTATATAGGACTGTACCTTCGTCTGTCAGTGTGTCTACGCGTGCTTAATGTTTCCGATGAGAAGTGAAGATGGTCGAGTGTAGTGCCCGACATAATGGCCTCTTGTAAAACAGAAGATTAACGAAACACTAAAACAGGACTGATGTAGGTCTTAGCCCCCTCAGTATAGGTCTTAACCCCTTCAGTATAGGTCTTAACCCCTTCAGTATAGGTCTTAACCTCTTCAGTATAGGCCTTAACCTCTTCAGTATAGGCCTTAACCTCTTCAGTATAGGCCTTAACCCCTTCAATTTAGGTCTCAACCCATTCAGTAACGGCATTAACCCCTTCAGTATAGGTCTTAACCCCTTCAGTATAGGCCTTAACCTCTTCAGTATCGGCCTTAACCCCTTTAATATAGGTCTTAACCCCTTCAGTATAGGCCTTAACCTCTTCAGTATAGGCCTTAACCCCTTCAATTTAGGTCTCAACCCATTCAGTAACGGCATTAACCCCTTCAGTAACGGCATTAACCCCTTCAGTATAGGCCTTAACCTCTTCAGTATCGGCCTTAACCCCTTTAATATAGGTCTTAACCCCTTCAGTCTAAGCCTTAACCCCTTCAGTATATCGTACTCAAGGGGTTAAATCTCCATGAATTGATCTTGTATACAATTTCTTCTACAAGTTAACAACGAACCATAACTTCAACAAACACAGAAAGAAATCCTAAGCAGAGCTTCATGAACAACATAAAGATGACGCCACAGTGGTTACAATAGTCCCTTGTTTACTTGAACAACATAACACAGATAGAATAAACACCTACACAATACTGAATTTATTCAAGATAAATATTCAGGTGGCATTTGTGATAGAGCGTATTGCAGTCACTGAGCGGAAACGACAAATTGGGAAATCCGCTTGGATATTTGTGTAGATAAGGAGCCAGGACGCATTTAAAAAATAACGGGTTATAAAAGTTAGGAATCCCAGTTTACTTCACCTGATTTAGGCACCCCCGCTTATTTTACCTGATGATTAAACATCCTAACGTTACCTGGAGGAGTTATCCCTCCTCCTAGTCACAGGCCTGGCACTTGACATTATTAAGGACCTGCCACGCTTTGCTATAAACAGATGAAATGTACCGGGAAATTTACCCCCACACACTCATCATTCTCTCACTTTATGTAACTTGACAAAACCTATGACCCTTCAGGCTTTCACGCCCTTAATGAACGAGTCATAAAGGCAAGTATGAACTTTGCATACTTCCCAGATGGGCGCTGTAAACACTTCTGGGCTTCACCTTGCACAGGATGTAAGGGGGTGCCCAATAAACTAGCCCCCTCGGGGGCAAATCTGAATCTGTTACCTGGAGGGGTGAGGTTAGGGAGCTTAATTATGAAATAAGCTGGTGAGTCTGATCTTTACGTGAAATAAACTGGGGTGTCTAATCTTCAGATAATCCCTCAAAGTTTGCTACAATCAAACCTGAATTAGTTTTTTTTACAATTATTAAATTCAATGTAAAATCCCTTCAAAATCGCATAAGCGTTCTCTAGTTACTGAGAGGAACCCAGCAACCGTACATACATTACATACTGTACACAGAATGAAGTCAATATTTATTTATTTATTTATTTTACATACTAAACTAGGCTATAAACCATTGCAAAACCTAGCTGTCATCTGCCATTACCGACCATGACTGAGCTTTCGTTAATATCAACATCCGTATAAAATATTTACTCAAGTTATCTTTGTTTTATCGAGTTTTTTAACAGCAAAGTTCATCAGGTATAAACCGGTTACATTTATGATCAAGAAGTAGATAAAGGAGATTATTATCACCAACTGTTCTGGGAATTATGGCCACAGCTTTGTAGGTAAATACGTAAGGCACATCAATAGTTTATAATATGTAAACTCGCTAAAGCCTTTAATCATGTGGACGTGCGAAATAGAAACACAGATATTAATGTCTTTCCAGTTTTGTCCATTTCCTCCACCTCTTCCTTTACTCTCTCTTTGTCACTATATTCTTTTTCTCGCCCCCCACCCCTGTACTCGTGTCAGGGTTATGTAATGTATACAGTATATTTATGTCGAGGGCCTGCCGCCTCCAACACGCTTACATCACCTTTTGAATCCTGTCAAGTTTAACTTTCTCTCGTTCACTGCACGTCACCTTAACAATACTGATATACTTACTACGGTACAGTGTGAGGTAAGTCAGTGAGTAACGGTACAGTGTGAGGCAGGTCAAAGTCTGGTGGTACGGGCAGGTACAAGTTAATACTACGTCATGGATAGAAAGACACCCAAACTTTCCTCCTCTCCCAACCACCGCGGCAACACTTAGCTCACTCCATAGGGGCAAAATTCCATTGATCAAAATCACGTCTATTTACCTTTAAACTAATTCCTACCATCAAAATAATGCGTTACACTAAACAAAATTTCACATAATCATGTTTCTCCATAAGACCAACATTAAAAAAAAAGCTCATTAAGTTCTTCCTTGCCCTTCTTGACTGACAAAATGGATGGCTTCTATCAGAATTAATCTCGTAAATGAATGGGAAAAAACACCTTCCACTCATGAACTTGTTCCTCTACTCTGATGCCAAGGTTAATGTGGTTACTTAATCCACTGTATGTACTTATCTCTAAAAGGCTATTGTCAAGGGGGAAGATGCAGCCACGTCAATTATTTCCTCTCATGGCGGAGTCTTGATTACAGTACAGGATTTCGATGATATTTTAAAGTATTACCGTGGCAGTGGTTCCTAGCTAACGACACGGTTGAAAATACGAAGGTAAAATGTTATTAGGTTAGGATTATGTTGTCTAGCCTTACCTAATTTCACTATATTGGGTTACATTTGGCTAGAATTGGTTAGAAGGATGTGCATGGTACAGTATATTTACATTGTTGGCAGTTAAGGAGCCAGTCTTGCCTTATTTTTGGATAGAACATTAATATATGGTGTGTTCAAGAGTAAGTAATATTTATGAGGATTTAAAGGTATTCAAAGATAATTTTGACTAGAAATCAAGCTCTCTTCATCATAAACATCACCACAGATTAACCAGACACGGAATAATACAATAATCAACGAGGTACTTACCGATAACGATCAAATTTTGCAAAGTTCTTCCACTCAATTGGGTTGGATTTGTAGCTGGCCATAACACTATGAACATATTCAACGTTTACGCTGTCACTCTCAAACACCTTGTGCAGTTCCTCAACCAGATCATTCAAGGTGGCGATTTGTGGCAGATATGTAACTTCCATGATGAACTACTATGAGTTCTGAGAGGATTCAAGCAGACAGGTGTCACGCGGTTTATTTGCAGGTGGCTCCGATGGAGATATTTGGCGGCAAGATAGTACTAAGGCTGGAGCAGACGAGCAACACTATTTACCTCCCGCTTGATGCTGCATGTCTCCACAACTCCCGCTCAAGTATTGTTCATTTAAATCCCATAAGTATCTCTTACAAACTAGTTTCGGTAATAATAAACGATAGTATATTTTTCATAGCTTATTTTATTATAATACAATATGATTTTATATTATCGATAAATACGTAGAAGTAAATAAACTGGCATTTCCAAGAGTGGCTGTTGCCGTGACGTCACGCACACAAGCCCCCACTCTTTACAGGCTGTGATTGGTTGACGTCGTTGCTACTCGTATCAGGCGCAGATGAACCATTAAGTTTAGGAAATATTTTCATTTATAAGTAAACAAATCCTCAAGAGTACCTCCGACTCGGTCAATTTATACCTTAATGCCCTGATTGATGCCTGTTTCCTTTATCTCTCTAGTGATGGTTGAAACAATGTCCAGCTTGAGTTATTGACAGTTGCTTACATTCTCAAATATTCCTTCTTTAGATCAATACTCACAACTGTTGCGCGCCAACTTTTTTTTTAATCATTCGCCACTTATCAGCTTACAAGCCGTTTGGACATTTTGGCACTGTTTATGGCACTTGCTTACGCCCTTGGTCTTTTTTTCTTTTTTTTTTAAGAAATATGAGAAAGTATAGTTATCAATTCAAATACATTAGTTTAGGCGGGACCTGTACGTAGATTTATATATATATATATTTATATATACAATTAATGCAGTTTAGAAATTCTATAGTTATTGAAAAATTTTCTATTCATCATTTAAAGTTTTATGCTAACACTTAATTTTATGTGATAAGTAGGAAAAATCAATAACTTAAGATGTCATTTGAAGGAACCAATGTTGGGTACAGTCTTATGGCGGGAAGATGAGTGCCGTTGACCCTTACTTCCTGAGGGTATCTTTGTTACTGACCTGTGGGACCACTATAATACCGCGGCTGCTATCAAGAGTGTATATCTACTGTAGTCGTCAAGTGGTAAGTAACATAATTGTGATTTTTAGTTAATTCTCAGCCGATAATTTTTATTTTTACAACTGATGTTAAAAAAATGATTCGGTGGAAAATAGATGCGAGTCGAAAACATGATCGGAAGATTAGACATACAAACTCGTACAGTATATACAATATCCCCTGACCTCTGACACACTTAATAAATATCACTTAAATACACACTCGAGAAATACTTCAACCACACACTTCAACTAAACACACATCCGTTAGCAGTTTCCGGGGCAGACCAATTCAAAAGAAGTGCACTACATTTTGAGAACGAACATTGGCACAGGATGTAACTTTACCGCCGGCACACACACTACTGTAGTTCATGATATTCACTATGAGTCCACACATATCTGGGAAAAGTTATAATTTTAGCTTCGAAACTGGAAATAAAGTCACAATGTCTTTCCTGTGAGTGAGAAATGATATACTGTATGTATGTGTTGTCAAAGTAAGAGACAATTGAGACTCTGCAATTGTGTGTAAATGAGGCAGAAAGTCAGTCTGCAAACTGGGACTTGGTCACATATGGCAGCAGGGTCTACCATTAGACAACACATTATGCTTCCAATATCTTCCCAGGCGGTAGTACCTCCGTGTTTGATAGCTGCCTACTGCCTATATTTGGAGCTGTGTGAAGTTTAGCAATGGAACAATGGCTGATCAATATTAATTTGTCCCATCCACACCGACTCATCCTCCACGCGATTTTTCTTTTTTTTTCATTAGAAACTTGAACTCAACTGTAAAGGCTATGAAACATTGTCACCGTGATTTCATTTAGTCTTTAAGTGAGGATTGTGTGTGTGTTTTACCCTTGTGCTATCTTTTATAATTACTAAGAATGGTTTGACGTCACATACGGATCTGAGATTGTGTAAGTCATTTGAGTAAAATTTATTAAACTCAAATGTCTTAACACTCACATGCTATTGATTATTGTCCACTCTGTATCTGTATTTCTCTGGCTAAATAAACTGTTTCAATATGTCTATTAAATTATGTTCACTGTTGATTGATACATTATTATATTTACGGTGATATGTATGTAATTTTAATGATAGCTAAAGTGTGTAAACCTGTACTGAGGTTAAATAAATACATCTTGTTTGGCGTTATAGGTTAAATATGGTTACGGATTCTGTTTTGGTAAGAAAACAATTATAATGACACACAATAGATCTAATATAATTTATTAACTCAGCTATACATTTTATATAATAATTAATGAGTATAATGAAAGCACAAATATGGGTCCACTGTCACAAACCTGATGGAGACAATGTACTGGTAAAGTCATGCAGTAAGATGAGCTCAAAGTACATAAGCATATTCACAGCTTGTTGACATTACTATGGGAAAAAGTATACAATTAACACAATGAAACGTCCAGAATAAATTTTATGATGTATTTTAATATTCATCAGGAAGAAAGGCTTCGGGTATTGGTACAACAACAATGTGATCAAACATTCATATTGTAGTACATATGTCAACAGGTTTGTGGTGTACTGAACTTATTTCTGGCATTCAAACTTGAGCATCAGGAAGAGTAAAGGTTCATCTAGGGAAAAAAGTGTACAGTGCTACCAATATTTAGTGTATGGCATTCTTATGTGACTAGTATTAATATTTATATTTATGTTCACAGAACAAATACTTTACACAAATTCAAACCAATTTCATAAGAATAATCAGATTATTTTCCACAGTTAGATACACAAAACTTACCTTTATAAACAAAACCTCAGAAAAATGTAATTTATCCTGAGAATCTTTTATTAACACCACCTTACAGTACAGCAGGTAGGTACAGGTGCCTGAAGACAGTCACTAAGTTATTGACCAGCTGTGGTAAACTTCACTTTCATAAACAACTAATAAAACCTCACAGCTGAACACACATTAAAAATATCAAAGTTTTATACTTAATCAACCATCACATTTATGCTTTAAGGTAACAACTGCAGGAGTGACTTGCTTGTGAGAATATAGATTGATATCAGTAAATGCATATACAGGTATTGTATGTATAGTAGTTTTGACAATTAAGTGGACTGATATAAGCTAAATTGATTGTTTGACTTCATGTTCATTCAGTGACCACCAAAGACAATTTAAATGGCTTAACAACTTATCCATTTATATTAATTCACTTTAGAAATTCTCATGGTTGGTGTTAAACAATATGAAGAAAGATAACTTCTCTTCCAACTGTCATTCATAGCACAGTACAGGGTATAGCATTAACAGTAACTCGAACACTGACAGAATGGGGATGAGTGTAACCTATAATATAATAAAGTAATAAACAAAATCCCATTTACCAGTACTAACATTGTCTTCCACTGTTTCTCTTAAAAAAGGCAACAGATATAAATATTGATATGTTGGTAAATACAGTAAAGTACAGTACAGGTATTGTACAGGTGGTCATGTAAACCTTTAATTGTAATGAAGTTGCTGAATACAGTACTAAGGTATGTGAAAATACTGTAAAATTATTAGTATAGTATATAATATAACCTGATTTGGTGAACAGTCTTCTATGATGACTTAATATCATTTGTAAAAACCTGTAATGAGGGATTCCCAGTGTGCAAAATTTCTGCAAACACTTGACCATCAAAACCATTTTGCACACAACAGAATCTTCCTTCACTATCACACCAGCTAGTATCATGACACATCTTATGACTGGGCTCAGACAGATGTTACAAGGCTTCTATTTCTGCTCATGATGGCTGATATGAGACCTCCAGTCAACTGACAATAGGAGTGTTTTGAGAATTCAGCTCAGAAATCAGTGAAGTGATGTGAAATGTTATGAGTCACTGTGGCAGTTCAGGATTCATTTTGTGTACTATTTTGCTGTGTTGTGTTTGCAAGTTTATATGGATAATTCTCATTGTCTTAGTGCTTTAGTGTGTTTTGTTCTCGTCTCATTTAATTTCTTATTTATTTCCTGCGGTCAATGGAGAGGTGTCTAGATGCAGATGTCTGCAGTAATCTAGCAACTTACTTCCTTATATTACAGCGTTGCAGTACAGTAGTTCTTAGCAATACAGTACTGTACAAGAATTTGGTCATTGTATTTAATCACCAGCTATCTTGTGTTATCATTGATTTAAAACAAAAATTAGTGTCATAAAAGATCTAACAGATACCGGGATACTGAAAGATTCCTAAAGAATGAAGTTAGCTCCTAAATTATAATGTGTACAGTACAGTATATTGTAACAACAAAAGAGCACACTTATGAAGGAAATATTCTCTACTGCATGGTGTGTAACATTTGTTTATTTTTATGTTTGTTAACCTCAGCAGTTTTTCCTGTTTATAGCATAATGTACAAATATTAGTTATGGTCTCCAGGGAGCCCTAAGCCATTACGGTATATATTTTTTCAAAGGAATTGTCTGTGCTTGTGCTTAACAAAACATCCACAGCTCACTCGCCCAACAGACTGGAGCCAGTGGCTGCCTGCAGCCAACTGCTTGTGTAAAGCTGCAAAAGCTGCTAATAATAAACTTATCAGTTATTTGTTCACACAGAATAGGTCCCTCACATAGGTACAGAAATACAGTACAGGTCGTGAATGTAGTGCATCTATGTTTGTGTGTTGGTAAGACTAGAAGAATATTACTGTATTTACTTGTGCATAAAGCAGAACATACTGCACTGTACGTAAAACACTGGCACTCACACACACCTTTAACTTGCTATATTCATTGTAAATAGCTGGACACACTCTCTCTACATTATTGGAAAAGGAACTTTTTATTTCTCACTCCAACATTATTATCAATATTTCTGTACACACTAACTCAGTGGGATGTTATTTCTCTACACTACTTCAGTATTTAATCTGTGGATAGTTGTATATTTGATGTTACATGTAGTGAGGGGGTTGTTGTTGTAACAGGATGGACAGAGGGAAGACAGGATACGTGTTAAATATGGTTGTGTTACAGTACAGTATATGTAATGTAAAGAGTGTAAGTTACAATTTTTAATGGCGTTGGTGTGAATAATAACACCCATTACCATTCTTCTTTTTTATGTGGCATAGGGATTTAGTCTCACACAATAACTTAAATAAATGTATAAAAATTTTTGACACTACTAAAAGAATTGCTAATGGAATAATCTATGATGAATACTTTACTTTCATAATTATGACTACCCGGTAGTGCAATACGTAGTTCTAAATTATAATCATCCAAAGTATGACAGTACAATTTAATTCATTTCCATATTCAAAGCATTAATAGTCTCATTATTGCAAGGAAAACAATCCTTATAACAATCAAATGATGTAAAGAAAATGACACTGTATATTTGAGTAACTTCTCTGAGGATTAGGATATTTTTAATGATACAATTAATGGTGGCAGTGAAAGATATGTGGAGAGTATATTTTCCACACAGTAGTACAGTAATTCCTAAAATAATAACGCTGTAACAGTAACACACTACTATATTAGTTAGCGTAACAATTATTGGTTATGATAATGAGCTCTGTTGAAAGCACTGTCTGTCATTCCTGTACTAAGACAGAAATGAGCCAAAAATAGACTATTGACACTTGTATAAATATTTGAAGACTTGTTTAACAATTTTAGAACAAACCAGTATAGCGTCTGCCACACATTGAGCGTCTGAAGAGCCTGATAATACTACCTGCAAGCTGCCTATGTGATCTGGTTCATGCAATGGGAACTTAGATGACCTTGGTTGTAAGGAAAGTGTGATAAGCGTTCTTCATATATTACATAACGTTTCAATGCTATAATTATGGATTTATACATGAAATAACACATCAGTATGTAGCTGAAAATGGCATCAGAGATTAATTCATTTGTTTTTGTGGTACACTGCAGTACACTGTAGTAGTAGAACAAGTGTTACAACATCGCTCACTTGGAATGCACAATTATCTTACAGTTACACTCCAAATATAAAACAAATTGGGTAGGAGTGTTTGTCTATTGACCAGTGACACTCAGCTCCTGAAAGTGTTGTAGCTACCTGCAGGGTTGGAAGCTGTTTATTCCTGTTCTTGATGATAAAGTCTGTATGTTTCTCCCACAAATTCATTGACCTATTATACATGTGATATGCATTAATCAGCAGTACTCCATAAACCATGAAAAACATATTGGAAACTGTCAGTAAGTAAATTCATCAACTAGTAGAGAAATTTTCAGGTTTTTGCTCTGACAAAATATATGGGAAGAATAACTGTGGTAAGGAAAGTGATGCCAGACGTCTGCAGCTGTCACAGTTAAACATCCTCCTTTAAACTAAAATGCATAAGTTTACTTCCTTAATATTCCTCTCAGTACATTACTTGACACTGTACAATGTCATACACGTTTTAAGACCAGGCAGCTATCACTAAAAATCAATGATCATAGAGCAACAACTCCAGTATGTAGATAAAGAATGTTGATGTTTTGGGCTGAAAACATTCCTTTGTATTAAGGGCTATAAAGTCTAGACTTACCAGCAAATAAGATATCACATTAATGATTAGATCAAGTATATATGTGAGAATAATAGCTGACCTTCCTGCCTCTATAGGAATCTTACATACAGATCCTTGATGTTACTTACACAAATACACATGCAGTCACCTACACGTGTACCTGATTCAGTATCTGGCACATTTTGTGAGATGTGGCAGATCTGTGTTTGTTTACATCATATTAAAACTCCTTGAATGGCCCTAAGGGACATCACAATAGTAGCCAGACTAAGGATACTAGATAAGTCTTCCACAGTTGCCACATCTCACAAAATGTGCCAGTCACTGTAACAGGTATAAGTGCTGGCAACTACCTGTCCTACTAATATCACCATACAGTATTTATATAACAAAACAACAAACACAAAAACAGAGTTAGGATCATTTACATATCAGCAATTAGCTTTTATTAGCAAATGTAAATGACAACATGTATATTGTATAACGTATTGTATAAATATTTTAACGTGCTTTTAAATATTACTAAACCTGTTACATATCACATTATTAATGAAAGTTTGGTTACTTCCATAAAACCATCCAATTCAATAAGGCAGAAATAATTCACACAAGATATGTCCCATTTTCTATTTTTTCCCTTCATTTATGGGTACAAGATCAACACCCTAAAATATATCTCAGAAAAAAATAAGGAACTCGTACTTGTTCACAAATCAGTAAACAAACCCCCAAGCTCTATAGTCTACCATTTACGTCAAAGTCATCACTCCGAAGAAAACTGTTCCCCAATAAATTTACCGTAGTTACATTCCACCGCTTCTCTCTGTGGTCCCGTAGGTGTAAGCCCAGATATAGGGGTAGGAGGATGGGGTGGGGTGGGGGGTAATTATTCTCCCAGTGAGATTATGAGTGAGGTGGAGGTTTATAGCTGCATGGTGTCCTGCTGTCTAAGTAATCAAGGTGTTTTGCATACTGGACGAAATCACTTCCTGTTTATATATTTGATGATTCTTGTAATTCACTGTAATTATTTCCACATGTGGCGAGTGAAGGTATAGAGAGGGATGTCCAGTAAAGTATGTACAGTAGTCACTTCCCATATTGTGTTTAAATGTATCCTGCAGTAATATTTAACTCATTGTTCTTCCATGTCTTTCCCAAAGATATATTTATTTATTTAATGATAGACATATAAAGAACAACAAAGATATTCAGATAGATAGACATACACATATGCAGTAATGTCTTTTAAATGGTGTTTTATTTTTTCTTTGTAATTTACAATTCGTCAGAAAATGTCAGATTTAAGTAAAGTTTTGCATAAAATTCAGAAGAAAGCATTGATTCAAACTCCTGTTTCATTACATATTGGTCCAACTCATACATTCATGTTCCTTACATATCCAAACTCACGTGTTGGTGTTTAACCCTTTGAGGAAGTTTGCTTAACTCTTAGGGAATGATGGTTTAAAGTTATAGCCCTTCGAGGATAATGGTTTAAGCCATAGCCCTTCGAGGACGATGGTTTAACGTACTAAAACATCGTGCTCAAAGGGTCACCACAAAGCACATCCTCAAGACCAGTTATTACCATTACATTTTATACACTACTGTACCTGTATACAGTGGTCCCTCGATTAACGAACACAATTGGTTCCACAGAGTCGGTTGTTAACCGAAAATTTCGTTAACTGAATCTATTATTTCAATGGGATATTGGGTAATTGGTTCCAACTCACAGAAAAAGTACATACAAAGTACTGTATACCTGTAATAGAATTAACAAAACATTAAATATAAACTAAATACAATATTGTACAATAATTAATAAAAACAATAGAATACTGTATTTTAACTTACTTTGAGGTATGTATGTCGTATTCCCGGCAGCTTTGTTTACATATCAAACAGCTGATTGTAGAGGCTGTCAGTGATGACATGCCATATTCTTAACAGAGTGCATTGGTTCTAATGCCTTCTTCCTGTTTCATAATAATTTCTGCACTGTATATTATCAATACGTTAACTAAATTTCAGAATGACCAATAATTTTGATGTAAAAATGCAAAAATATTCAAGAGCACAACTTTCTTGATATGTACTCCCCTGGAAACGAACGTAAACATAGAACCAATTACTGTATTGGTGGACTAGCTGATCAGCTGATGCGCACAACAAAGCGTGTTTCTCGTAAGGCTGTCGTTAATCGAAGTTTTGTTCGTTAATGGAACTAAAAATCCTTATGGGAGCTAATTCGTTAACCGAAATTTCGTTAATTGAGCCGTTCATTAATCAAGGGATCACTGTATAATGTTGGTTCAAAACTTTCAACCATTAGCATATGGTAAATCAGTATAAAGCTGGCAAAAATGGGTACAACACATAAGCTTCAAAAAAAATTATGTGAATTAGAGATTGTTTTGTTTGTGCCAAAGCCACAATCCTTCAATATATAGAGAACACAATACTTTCTTCACCAACCAAGTTATCATTACTCCAGATGATCAACTTGGGGAAAAAAACACTTTCTGAATCACATGGTCAATTGTGTTACGTATTACTCACCCCTTAAAAAAAATAATAATATTATTAATAATACAATAATATAATCAAAGAATGACTCCATGACTACACAGTACAGTATTATTTTATTGTATCCACACCAATACAGGTTAACCAAGGGTTCATGGTCAGACTGTTTACATCTAAGTCTTATGTTTACAGCTTTACACACTGTATATTTAAGTACATTTTACCCATAGAAAATTCTGATAACAGCCAGCACACTTGAGCCCATCTGCAGAAACTAACACTGAACCTAATATGGATGCCAAGGACGGATGGCCATACAAACACGCAATCCTACAGACAGCAATGATAAGTATTCATTCAAGTGACTATAATGTAATGTTTGTTAATTTTCTAACACACACACACACACACAGCTGTCTGTAGGTTGTCACACAGCCTATCAATTATCTGTATTGTTCCTTAAGTCAATGTCTATTCACTCATCCATAATGTGTAGGAGACTAGATTCTGTGATGCCTTACATAAATGCTTCTATATTTTCTTTTTCTTTTTACCTATAAAGCTTTTATCCTAAGTTCCTTTTGACTAATAATAATCTACATAAGAATATACTGTACGTATGATAGGTCGTTTCCTCGCACTATTCACACCCAAGCAACTCTGTTCTATAACCCCATACTAACACACTCTCTGACCCACTAAATAGCTTCCCCTACTCCTTACCTCTTTGTTACTCTTACTTAACACAGTATATCTTCTCCACATGTTCAGACCATCTCAACACTCAGTACTTAACTTCTTAATCACTTCGAATCTCTACTTATATCTTCTTAATGTCCTCAATTCTAATTCTGTTTGCGTTTCTTAAGGTAAGATAACAGCTTACTACGATTACCCCGGTACTTCTTATTGAGTGCAGTGGCAACTTACATAATGTACCTCCTTGTATTATCCATCCACCACACTACTGACATCTATCTACCTACACCATCACTATCTTTATGCTAGTCTTCCCTATAAACTTTCCTCATGTAAAAAGTAATCCATTTAAAATCACATTCCTCCTTGCACTGCTTCGCCTGGTAACTCAAGTTTCATCTACCGGAACAATCATTCACCTTTATATGCCTGATCCATGCACCACTGTCTTTCTACTTTCTACTTTCACTTTACCACTTGTCACCTTTTTTTAAATTTAAAGATTATCACTCTATTTCTCACTGCACTACAAACCTTAATGTTGACTCTCACTAAAGTACTCTTAGTCTTATGGGTTTAAAATTAATAATAGCCAATTATACTTTACTGTTTAGGTCCTCTGATCATTGTGCTCCCGCCTGACACATACATTACAGACATAAACACACAGACAAACACACACACTTACACTACATGACAACACTTGTACCACTTCCTTCTTCAGCCTGCTACTCATCCACAGCTTCTCATTTGAGTATCTGATGTGAAAATCATACAGTATTTGATTTCACTCCATAACAAAAGTAAATTAACTACCAGTACTGTATCAATGACTCACATCTGATGAAAAGTACCATAACTATTATTGACTTTGTATCTGATGTCATTTCTTTATTGCTAGTTCTATATCTAATGTAATATAACTATCACTGACTAATGTAGTGTAAAATATCAACTGTTGTCATATAAGATGTAAAATAACAATTGGTACAACTATGGCAGATTTAATTTTTCATATAAAATAAGGACAAGTACAGTACTGCCAATCAATATTTCATGTAAAATAACTATTATTGACTCTGTACCTGATATATAATAACCTTTTCTGTGACACAACTGTACCTTGTGACAACCACTGACCATAGAACACAACACAGAAGAAATCTGCATAATAACTCAACATTTTCAGAATTTTGGAAGAATCAAAGTAACTACCGGGTACTATATTAGCAGCTCCAAACATTTATATACATTCTCCTGATTTATAGACTCAAAATGTCAATAAAAAATACCTATACTTTATCAGAGAATAATTCCTTGAACATCTTAATTTCTAATATATATTTTTCATGCTCAGTGAACATGTGCAGTATGGAGGGATGCTGCCTTTAAGACCAAATAAATATATTTCACTCGTATCCTGTGTTCATGTGCTTGAAACTATTTATTATATTGTGTTATGTTTGTGTAAATATTTATTTTTATAACCATCTGAGTAATGTCTGTGTACAGTAGTCACTTAACACAATTTAGCATGGTTAATGTAAGTGGGTTATGTTGTACAGGAAATAATCTCACACAATTTTCACGTCCCAGAATGAGGTTTCACACGCATCAACTGTAATGTGACAAATGACATAATGGATACAGAAACCTTAGAGATCATGTCATTTCCTTTCAACTATTTGTGAAGAATGTATTGCTATCAAGGCTCAAATAAAAAATGAAATAAAATCCTCCACACAAGTATTAACAGATAGAACTACCATTAAACATTTCTTTGAGCAGTCTAGTAGTACGTATAATATTAAATATTTGCAAATGCAACAAGATAGTACACTGCTATGATCACTTGTGTTTGGAAATGTCACACACACACCGTCTATGAATAGCAACATTCAATACAGTACAATGGAGTCTCTTTCATATTTTGAGTACAGTACTGTATGCAAGGTATATCTATCGGGACTATTGTTGGTACTCCCAGAAAATACAGTACTGTACTGTAGTTGGTCATCAATCTCCAAATGTACTCAGTGTCTTGTTCTCTCTGCTGTTCATAAAATACATTTCCAAACTCATCTGTCTCTAATTAATGAAAAAAATTTAATAAGGCAACATATAGTTTCTCTCTCAAGGATGTTAACAGGATATAATGTGCCCTTGAAAGATAAGTGATCATAATAAAGACTGCAGGAGTTAGGGTACGCCTTGGACCCTACACCAGCGTAACCAACAGCCACCTTATACAGGATCATTTTACTCGAGAACCATAAATTATTACCACATTTTAGAACATGCAATAACAGGAACTTAAAAATCAATAGGAATAAACTCCAATCATATCATTGAGCAGACTCACTGAATTTTAGGTTCCTGTTAACTGTATAACTCCTAAAATACAGTAGAGTACAGTAATCATTTAAGGTTTTCGAATACTGTAAACAAAAATGACTATTGTGTTCACAGTATCATTCAAGGTAACTAGTGAGGGCAGTATATATTTAGTGATGGACAGAGTCAAGAACATCACATTTATAATACTGTATAATATATCTCCTAGCTATAAGATAACAAGGTTTTTCTCCATCAATTTCAGAAGATCTTAACATTAAGGAATCACCGAACTTTAGTGACCCAAAAATATCTTGCCTACAGTTATTGCCTGGGATTGCACAGTTTGACTATTCACAGTTCTCTCTCACCTTGTAGATACACTGTATGATAACAGTAAATTTTGGTATATTTAAGCTGCCTTAGATGGGTCTCTGCTTCAGCCAAGACTAAAGATGTCTAAGCTAAACTTGCCGGGTCTCTTGCGAACCAAGTTGACTGCCACTGTAACATAAACAACAATAACAGCATTAGTACTGTAGGAGGTTATTAACTCTTTTTTTTTTTTTTTTTTTCTGGATAAATCAAACAAAACGAAAAATAATATTTGGGTGCGTCCACATATGTGTACATTTCGTTGCCAACACGCGATCAACAAGAAGAAACTCCAGTCTAGTGCACGCGGTCATACCCTCGTCAATCACATGGCTACAAAATGTACACTCGTGTGGATGCACCCTTAGGTATTTATATAAACTAGATGCAGTTGGATTGTTAGTATTCTTTCTAAAAATGATATTACAAGAACTGATGAAGTTAATTTAACATAATGAGGGACAGGTGAATTACTCTACATTCCAAAAGAAGTAAAGTTGCTTACCTTTGAGTGAGTGCATGCATGTAGCTAAGATATACTGTACAAGTCATGCAGTGAAGTTTTCTTGTCTACCAAAAGTACAAAGGTTTTATTACCAAATACATCTCTACATAAAAAGCATTAGCCTTGTCATAACCCCATTTACTTAAAATATAAGGTACTCCAGTGTTAGGGAAAAATGTTAATATTGTGTTGCAGTTAATGTTACAAAATATAAATGTTGTGATCTAATTTCTAAGACTTACTCCGAGGACAATATGAAGAACTGTACTATACACTCGTACACTCTGTATTTTAAAAGTTTCAGTGCACGATGCTAAGAAAAAACTGCCTTAATGAACAGTCAAAATATATCTAAATATAAACATACTTCTATTCAGTAAATCAAGGTTCCCCACCACCATAGCCAGTGACCAGAGAAGAGGGAAAATAGCTCTTATCCAAGAGGCCCACATGATGCACTGTTGTGTTTGAATTACACTTGAGATATATTAAGTTGACAACTCCATAACACACAGATGGGAACAATAAGTGGAAGCAGCAGTCTTATAATATTAAACCGTGTTAAGAGAAATTCGTATCAGTAAACACTACTCATATGCTAAGTTAAACATCGAGCATTGTACTGCCCTCACGTTTCAACAGCCGCGATAAACATTACCTAACTCATTTTTGCCTTTAATTTCAACATGACACCTTCAAGTACGATACAGTATATATACAGTATATACTGTATACATTTTCCATTATGGGTTAAATATTTGTTTTGTATATTTTAACTCATTACAACTGGTTATAACCTTCTTCTCTCAGATAATAACAGTAATTTACCAGTGAAATTGTGACCTTTTAGTAACGAAGAGAAAAAAAATATAATCACATTCTTTTAATATTATCACACTAAAGGATTTATAAATACAAGTGTATGGTTAATAACATTCAGTGAGAAACTGGGAGCATGGATGTCAGTCAGTCTGATGTAATAATAATAACAATAATACAGGTAATAATAATAGAGGCAACCAGGTTATTAGTAATGTCTGGTATTACCAGGTATATTTGGACATACACACACAAACCCTTAAACTAGAGATGCAGCCATCCACAGTTACAGGACAATCATGAAAGCCATAACTTTAAGAGAGTTTTATATACATGAATTCTGGTAGAAGTTCTTTGTAATAAAACATTTGAGATAGCACTTATATGTGTCACCTGAAAAGTTACAAGTTAAGGATATTTCTAATTTCACCTTCACCTGCACTTTATTTAGTCTGTGTTAGAACACTAACAAAGTGAAATAATTGGAGGATGTCTTTGTCAGGATACAGGAAAGACGATTCATTACAATCAGTCTTGTGTGATTAAAAATGTGTTGAACTAATGTCAGTAAGATCTAGGCTCTACACTGTATGCTTAACCCTCAAATGGCAGCTATCATCTGTGGATGTGGATGTTAGTTGTAGAGATGGCAGCCATCATCTGTGGATGTGGATATTAGTTGTAGAGATGGCAGCCATCATCTGTAGATGTTATATGTACGGACGGTGGCCATCACCTGTAGATGTAAGCAGTAGGGACGGCGGCCATGATCATGGATATTTCATGTGCCTTCCATTCCATTTTTTGCACATATGGGAGTGGGGTAGGGAATCCTTAGTCGCCATTTATGGGTTAATCAATATTTTCAGTAAAATTTTAGTTTCATATTAAATTTACATACTGTACAATGTTATGCCATATTGTGGTACCTATTATTTTGTGTTAAAGTATAAAATCTGACTGTTTTGGGGTCTTATCCCTCACTGTGTTTGTTTCATGTTTTAAACACTATACAGTATAGTGGTTACACAGACTAACACACGGCACATCAACAAAAAGGTTCACATCACTCTGGTTAACTGTCTGACACTGTGTGTGTTCTGGGGTGGGAATGGGGCATGTGTAAAGGTCTTGATGCTGAGCTAAAAAATCAAGATTATATTGGGCATATAAGACTTTTATTTAGAAGACTAAAACTTATACAATAGACAAAACCATACATTCTTGTACACCAACACATTACATCCTACTGATATAATATAATAATGACATAATTCATACAATGATGACTGTAAAATCCACAAAGGTTGAGCACCGTTACTCCTGCACTATAAAATCTTCACAGTTCACACCCTTTAAAACCATATGATACATGTACACACTAAATATTTATTCAATACATCAACTATGAGTAACATTTATTAATCAGATTCAATTTTACTGTATAAATGGAACAGATAATAAACATGAGGATGAGCTATAGAAGGAAAAAATTATTCAATGATTTCCTTTCAGTTATTACATGGATATATTTCATTAACATTTCAGTAATTTTTGAGTTACATATTCCTTTGAAAATAAATAAGCTTTGTTATTACAGTATTTGTTGCAAATTTAGCTACAGTACTTTAAATGAAGGGTTTTATGTAATGCAGTAATGGTACAGAGGGTTTCATGAAATCTATTCAAAATACAATGAGTGCATATATAAATACAGAACTACAGTACATATGTAGTATAGGAACTTTATGTGTAGACTGTATTACCGGTATACAGTACATGTACTTAGTTTGTTGATCCTAATGTCCTAAAAAAAAAAATCCATAACGGGAGATTAAACTATGTGTCTAAATTTCTAATAAGTATTGGTGGTAAAGCTGGAACATAGTCATGACAATTCATCCATACATGAACACTGTACCTAATACAGGAAGTGAAGCTACAAACTCTGGCTGCAATGTGTATACTGTATCAATAAGTAACTGTAGTAAGGTGCTACTTTAGGATGCTTCAAGGGAGCTCTTTGTTGTGAAAAGTGAAGATGGTGTTACTTAAGATAGTACAGTGTTACTTGAGTGTTCTTTAAGGGATTTATTTGACTTGGAAAATGAAAAATAATATCACATAACTTTTCTTTGACTTGAAAAGGTTATTTTGTGAGGAAAGACACACAGGAAGACGTAAAGTGCAATCACAAATATATAGAAGATTGTTCCCAGATAAGTATTTCATGGTATAATAAATGGCTGGGCGAGGTTAGCATTAAGTACTGTATCAGTGGATTATTATGAGGCTATTCAGAAAGTGTGAGATGCGTACACAGACGAGATGTACTGTAGCATGGAAGAGGAGGATATAGTATTGTACTACGTATTATAAATTTAATTTGAATACCACAGTTGGAAAAAAAATTGTGAACGGTATGTTGTATACATAAGTACGATAATTATGGAAAAACCTAAAAATCAATACTGTATACTGTATTTACATCAAAACAGTATCTGTTGTTTGTATGTACTGTATAAAAATAGCATACATTAAAGACAACACATGAACATATGAAAAGTTACTATAACATCATTGACAGTAAGAATATATTCAAGCACCTCAACTTTAATCTTTGGTGATTTTTTAACCTCACAGGTGCAGGAGTCTTAATAACTTACTTTTCACGTACTGTACTGTACATCTAAATGCTTTTCTTGGTGGACAGAAAACACAAATCATAAATTTAGTCTAATAAATTTTGTAACATTTCCTGACCATGTGGCCTAGAAGCAAACAGTAAAGGTCTTAATTGAAGTCATATAACGGCTCAATGCCTCATAAGCAAATGCATTCTGCAGGGAGGAATCAGTGAACCTCACAAACTCATGTACTGTACTCATGCTAGCATGGATGGGTAAATTATAAAAAGCTTCAAGCTATGCTTTCATTATTTATGTGATCTACTTTTGATTTAATACAAAAAATTATAGAAATCATGACTCTAGCTTAGGCAATGCTATTAGCAACTAGAAAAATTATCAAATGCTCAGTCTCTTGTTACATGTCATGCATGGCTGTTTATTGATCCAGAGGCATACACTTGATGTAAGAAAGTGACTGACATGGTGAGGGTTTGCTGCCACGGGGTACTTCATCCAACCACACACTCACTCATAATAAAGAAAAAATACGTTCAAAGTGATATCTGAACATAATAATGGCAAGTGAAGTGTCTTAGAAGAATGCTTACACACTGCTTTAGATTTTTATGTAGATCCTATTAATGATTGCACAGTACAGTGGGGTATGCTATAACGAACGGATTCTACTACGAATATTCCTATAACGAACGGTTTTACCTATAAAATTGAGAATGCTAAAACGAACGCAACTCCTACAACGAACGCGGATGAATACTGGACTATTTCATCTGGCGCATGAATATTGTTGTACCGCTGCTCACAGCAAGAGCGTCAGGTGCCATATTGGTTCATTGTGTAGTCAGTGCACCACTGAACTTGTTGAAATTTCGTCTTTTGATGTGGAAATTCTTGTTATTTTTATAACTATTTTGTTATACAAGTGTACAATTGTGACAATGAATCGTCAAAAGCGAGTGAGAAAGCTAATAACCCTTGAACTTAAGAAAGAAATTATAAATAAACAGACAAAGTGCCTGTAAGACAGTCACCAAAGAGGGCTAGGAAGGGTGACTCCTCTCCTTCCACCTCTTCTCCATAATTCTCTCCTCCCCCCCTCCTCCTCTGCCTCCTGTCCTGCATGCTAACAACACTAAGGTAAGATAAAGTACCGTATTTTTTACAATTTCCACAGAAATTTTTCAGTGTTAAGTGGTTGTATTTGGGGGCCTGGAGCGGATTAATCCTATAACGAATGAATGCTATAACGAACGAGGTTCTAGAACCAATTAGATTCGTTATAGCATACCCCACTGTATTACAACAGCAGCAGTGTCCTCACTAGTTGCTCTGCAAGGACTCTCACATACAGTAAGATTGTTGTTGTAATATAAGCATTCATATGATCTATGTGAAGATCTGTTGTAGTGTGTATACATTCTCTTAAGACACCTAATACTGCACATGAATAAATGTAAAATGACACTTAAAATTATTATTCTATGACTTACTGCAGATACTTCAGCAGATATTCCCATTATATTGTAAATAATTTTGTATTTCAGAGCACAGGAAAAAATGCTCTTTTTATACATATACACACACACACACACACACATACATATCAACATAATTTAGCTGAATATATCTGAATAATTGGACACATTAAATAAAACAAAATGTGTATTAAAAACTGTGTAGCAGAAACCTTTCCACTCTTAAAGGTATGTCACTGTAAATGTATTTGTACAAAATGACTGACTGGCCATAAAGTCAAGCAGTGATCAGGTCCTAATACTGAGCTCCTGAACTGACTATGATATCAAGTGCCTTTGTAGAGGGATGGAGTTAGTGGTGAGGGGACTGACTGACTGTTTGGTTTGTTTATAAGACATGTGGCGTCATAATACATTAGGTCATGTGACGGTGGTGCTGAGGGGAGAGAAATTTAGTGATGCTTCCTGTTCCTCAGCCATTCACTTAAGGGATTTCTCCTGTGACCGCCCGAATGGATAACTGAAATTTTAATCAGTTAGGACCAAAAAAAAGCAAACAAAAAACTATAAACTTAATTTAAAATGCCTACATATGTAATCTTATATATGAAATGAATCTTGTAGTTTTAGTTCTTCATATAGCTTGATGTGAAAGGGCAAGCTGAGTATAGAAATCAAATTATGACAAACATTTACATGAACAATATGTCCCAACTAAAACTGGAATTATTTTGTAGCTTTATTACAGTGAAATCTCTATTAAATGGACTATATGGAGATGCATGTACTTTATATCAAGGTTCCGTTAGATGTGAAACCTCCATCTAATGAACTACTGTATACAGATGTGAAAGTCCATTATATTGAAGATGCTTTTAGATGTGAAATCTCCATCTAATGAACTACTGTACTGTATATAGATACGAAAATCCGTTATATCGAGGGTACGTTAGATGTGAAACACCTCATCTAACATAGATACACAGAGAGAAGAGTCTGTTATATGGAGGTTTCACTGTATAGTAAATTTAGGTAAAGTGTCATGTTTATTTAAGTATTAAACTATAATACATATAGGGAAGACCTGCACGATATCAAAAGACAAGCAAGAGCGTCAAGCAGTCAGCAGTAACAGTATATGAGTGTGCCTATAATAGTACCCTTATCTCCTACAGTATATGACTTACCCCTTAGTAGTGTTTAATATAAACATAAATCTAATGACTACTTTTAGCAGTTTAAAACATTTAATCTCTATATCTAATACTAATAACCAAGTAATTAATAATACTGTATGTTCTTTAAAACAGAAATTTTTTTTAATTTATTATACCAAGGAAATATCCTCATCTTTTTCCAATTACAGGTATTTTGTCAAACATAATTCATATCTAACATTCTCAGGTGATAAGAAATATATGTGAAATATATTTAAATATACCTGGGGGAATTTATTGTTCATTAAGTATATATATATTGTGTATATATATATATATATATATATATATATATATATATATATATATATATATATATATATATATATATATATATATATATATATATATATATATATATATATATATATATATATATATACTGTACAAATGTTTTAAATATATAAGAATTATTCAACATTCACTAAAACAGTAACAGTTACAGATGATGAATGTACTTGTAGCACCTGAATATATATATACAGTAGGTACTGTACCTAACAATAAATCAAAGACTCGCCACTGTGATACTTGGTCAATACTCTCACTTATCTTCATTTCATTCAATAATTTAATGGCATTACTGAACATATCAACTATATCAACAATTATTATCCTTAACAAAACTAAAACAATTGTCTAATTAATTCTTTCTACTATTTTTGTATTCCCTTGACTGTATAGCAAAGTTTATTATGTTGTTTGTCGATCCATTCAGCTGTCCTGCCTGTTCGTCAGGCCACAGTAAATCTACAGTAGTTTCTTAGAAAATGGATTTTGATTTGAATTTGGGTTTGAAAGTGAAATCCGATCGGTCATTGGTTGGGATGGTTGAGGACACTACTAAGCCTAAATAATTTTCAAGTTAAATAATTATTTCCCTTTTTCTTTCAAATCTTATGCTATACTAATCAAATCAGTCCTTACACACACAATCTCAGTTTGGTGATCACCCATACCTTCCTATCCTAAACATTTTACATCATAGTTGTCAGGTGGTCAATATCTTACTCCTAATAAAAAAAAATTGATAAACCGTTTTTAAGAATCTACAGTATAACACTTGTTTGTGTTTTATACTCATAAATCTGTACTTGTAGTTATATTTCTGAATATTGTATAAACTGTAGAGTAGTATGTTGATAATTCATGTCTAATTGCTTTGCGGGACTGCAAAAGTTGGATCCCATCTAACCTACTCAGGCATTTTTATAAATTGTACTGTAAATGTGTGCCAATACAAACAATGATAAAAATAATGAATTTCCAACATTTTGTCTGTTTAATACTGCACATTACCATAGAAAACATTAAAGTAACCCCATAATGACTTCTGTTTATTTATCATTGTGAACAGATTCAGATATCCCTTACACACGTTGACAAGACAGGTCTCATCTTGCGGTGTGACTAGAGCTGACAGGGAAACTGCTTTACCAAATAGATCTCCACTCAAGTGTAGCTGAGGTGTTGGTCAGTCCTACATCACCGACTACAACTAGTAAGTGTGTGTGTGCAAGGTGATTACACCTTTAAAATTTTGTAGTTAGATTTCCTCAGCACTGGCAAACAGGGATTCTGAGGTGATGGAGGTTCACACTAGAGAGGCACTAAAGTATATCACATGTACAAAGAATTATAATAATCCTTACAGATTTTGTAGCCCTGATCAGCTTTCAGTGGAATTCTCAAAATCTTCCAATAACTGAAAAAATAAGTTCTGTTTCTGTAACATTTGATGCGGTCCTCAGTATATGGAGTTAACTTAATGCCTCAGGTTATAATACTAAACACTTGCAACACTTTCCCATGTTTCACAACGTCCTGTACTTTATAACAGACTCAATATATTAATTGTCCACATCTCTAAAATCCTGTTTTGATTTCTACTGACAACATATGTCCTGGTTTCCTGAGACACAATGATGCCAAGTTCCATTTATAAAACTTAACAATATCCAACAAAACATGTGTAGTCAAGGTTTAGAATTTCTCTTTCTGATATACTTAGTAAGCATGCACTAATTATATTACGGCAGGCATTGTTAATGTTATTACTATATTAATCTGACTGGATTTCATAAACTGCAACTTAGAAATAATGCATTAATATAAAGTATAATTTACCTTCTGATCTTCTACAGCATCACAAGTATTGGAAGCTCTGCTACACTCACACCAGGTACAGTATGATAAAGGTGGGATCAACTAGAGAGAGTAAATACTGTACAAGCATCCAGGTCAGATTAATATGGCATGCATTATTAGGTGTTATATTGTTAGTATGCAATGTGGAAAAAGAAAAGAGCAGGACTGGGTTAAAGCATTATAAGATTTATTCATAGTGCATTTTATAATGCAAGAGCAAAATATATGTAACAGTGTTTACTTTGCATGAAGACTATAAGCTTTTAACTCACTTTCCCCAACAACACTAATAATATTTACTTTGCAATTTATGTCCCCTACCGATGTACAGCAGATCACTGTGTGAGGGATGACTTGTACTCACTAACCAAAAGAAAACATCGTAGATTTCTTCCATATCTATCTCATTAAGTTTAGGAATAGGAAATGGTTATGTGACATTCAACCAAGTTCAGATTGGATCAAAACTAACAAAGAAAAAACTCCCATTGTAGTATTTGGTCACCAAGGACGGGACAAATACAACTATTTCAAATTAAACACATGTAGTTATCTGCTCATCTTGAGTTAAGTGTACGAGAGGGAAAAAAGTGACACCTCCTTGAGTGAAGTGATGGGTACCGGTAAATCATATTAGGACCATGTTGTATGAAGAGGTTACTACCATAACACAAAATAATCTAACACAAAAATAAGAACGAAATAATGATAGAATAAGTGCATATATTTACTTTTACTTCTGGCTAAACTGCATTAAATAGGAATTACCTTGTGAAAAAATGTTGACACGCATACACACACACATACATTTATATAAGTCAACATGCTTCATGCTCACACACTATTTTGAACTTGTACTTTTTAAAGCATCGAGGGAAAAAATATTGCAAAACTGCTTTGGTATGACAAGGGGTTTAAGACTTTGGTGAATGTACAGTAATATAGAATAAATGAGTCATCGAGAGCGAGCTAACTGTGCGAGAACATCTGCCCAAATGACAACGGTAGGAGACAAGAGAGGGGAAACACAGTATAGGTTGTGGTTAACAGCATGTGGCCAAGAACACTACAAAGAAGGAAAGCTAAACCACGAGTGCCGTGAGTTGCGTGCAGACTTCTTATTGACCGAGAGAGCCAGCTTACTCTGGTTGTCCTGGGGCCTCAGGCTTCGCTCCATCACTGTACTAATGGCATTCATCCACCGTGATCTCTCGTCTGACGTTGGAGCGGACATTACGTAAGTCCGCTCGGGGGTGATAAGGGAAAAGGAGAAGTCGTGGTCCTTACAGCCTCTTGGAACTCCTTCCTTGATGCTGTAGTTGTCATCCTTATACCCAAGAAATATTTCCCCTCTAGGGTAGGAATCCTGAAATAATTTAGATTGTTATTGTTGTTTGACTCCTATTTCCCCTCGCCCCCTACACCACCTCCACCTTATCTCTTTTCTTCCTTTCTTAGTTTAGCATTGATTTTCAACTATCACAAAATTACCATCTGAATAAACTAGTACAAACTTTCATTTAAAAACTATTTGTGAACAATTAACATCATACAAATAATACTCAACGAGAATGATTCAAATGTCTGCTCATAAATCTAAAATAATATTATCTATATAATTTCTTTTAACCTTATGAGTTATCTGACAGAAATTACTGGTGGAAAATTAAACACTAGAGAGAGAGAGACTAAAGACATCAACAACCACATCCACTGTGAGAAGGATTTACTCCCTTACTCACAGTTGATGTTTATAGACCTACTACGCAGAGAAATGACTCGAATACTGTAATAAATCAACAAACATAATGACACAAAATGTTTGAATATTTTGGTCAAAGATTAAAAACAGGACGTACCAGTGGACCTTCGTGATACATGAGCTTACGGTCATCCAGAATAAACCATCGTTTTCTGTAAGCATCTCTCTCATTAGGACCTGTCTTGGAGAGCCAACCCTCAATAACAAAGTCGTTGGTTAGGTATGGCACGAGCTGTAAAGTTAAAATTTCAGTTAGAAAGAGAAAAAATATATACAGTATATATATTTACATAAATGTATATTACAATGCACACAAAGAAAAAGATACAATAATTAACATGAAGTAAATAATAAAACAGATTGTGTCAATTACCAATTAATCTTAAAAGTGTTTAAACTTAGTCATGTGTGATGCACTTACTGATAACATTTGCTATTAAATTATTAAAGGTTCTTATTTAAGGCTTCTTCATGTGTATGTGAAACAAAAGGTATTTACAGTACTGTATACAAAACGTTACTACACCACTCACTAAAAGATCTTAGTACCTTTTGTAATCACTTATGTATTGTAAAAGAACTCAAAGTAACATTGCACTTACTTCCTCTGCAGCAACACTAGGATATGCAACCATAAGCCAGTTTAATTTAATGCTCCTAATGGCCATATACCACTGAATAATTATTTCCCCCGACTCGTGGTATACGTAAATGTGTCGTGTAGAGCCGTCACACATATATGACAACTGCATTCCATTGTCTTGATTCATTTTGGCCGGGGCTAAGCACACATTCAGTTCAGATAATTGTATTGTTGTTTTTGGTTCCTTTGAGTTCTGAAATTATCAAATGAAGCATTGTGTAAAACTTCCCAGACCAGTAAAAAATTACAGTAACATCAAACACTACTTACACAAATAATACTAATTAACTGCACTGAACTTCACAACTTAATAAAATACATGCTGTAGTTTAATTAATTTGCCAACACGTTATTCATGAATTTCACCAATGATGTATAGTACAACAAAACAAACTGAATAAGACACGAGGGAAGCATAAGAGTGTAGCTACTGTACACTCTGTGAAAGCAAAATAATTCTAACTAACCTCTTTACTATAATATTTTAAGGAATTGTCAGAAATAACAAATTTACGAGGAAAATATTTGTTTTCATCTTTAGCTTTCTTCATTAGTGTTCCCTCCAATGAATTCCTGATGTACGTCTGCTTATCAACCTGTATAAACTCCTGCCGTTCGTACTTGGCTCGTATCCACTGTTCCAGCAACACACTGTAATGGAGATTCATAATACCTGTACCGTAGTTGTTAACGACATGACTGCACATCTCTCTTCTCTTATTTCACTCTTGTCTTTAACCCTTAAATGACAACCATTCTCCAGAAGATTACATATATACTACCCAACACAGGCTGAGAAATGAATGATATAATAAAGCATCAGGATAATAACAACAACAACGGGTACTTACGGGGGATCTCCGGCATGAGGTATTCTGTAACACGCTGGAATATGTTGTTCATAATGTTGTTTGGCTTGTAAGTTGCCTACTGCTTCCATCTGTTCCACCTGCTCATCGTCCCATCTACAAATTTTTTTTTATAAAATGATTAAAAAAAATTTCAGTTAGGTTCAAATTACAACTTGAATAGTGTACGGTACAGTAATGTGCAAGTTATCTGTCATGATATAAAAAAGTATCTTCCTGAAATTACACTATTTAAAGAAAATTACTTCACATTCCTAGTTTTTGTGATAAATAAAAACAATATCATATTGAACAGTAACTTTTTAACAAAGTGTCCCTCTTCACTCAGTACTTTCACGTCACTGTTGATGCATTTAGCCGATATTCCCACAATGATACAGGTTTTGTAAGTCACAAAATATAAAAGGGTCACACGTAACATCACAGATCAGCTGACAGTTATTTAGGGGCGGCAAAACAAGTTACCGTCACTTGTAACACGAGGCTGAAGGTGTTTCCTTTATTAAATACTAATACACTGCAAAATGAAAGCTATTTATATATTCCATAAAAATTGAGAACCATTTAATCTTTCAAGCATATCATCATACGGCACCTATATTCTGAAAGGACAAACACACACATACATACATACACACATATGCCTGCCACTTCTGTCTGATGGAGAGAGGGACAAAGACTGTATGCCACACAATAACACCAGTCATGTGAAGGTAATAAATACAGATATATAGTACCAGTAATATAAATACCTTGTATATGCCATACTCCTTGGAGCCTATGGGAGATTAAAATACTGTACTGTACTCTAAAATTACTGTAAATTTTTCACACACACACACACACACACACACACACCACTACTACTACTACTTTGCTGTCACTCGGAATTGAACTCACACACACACACTGCTGTACCTACTCAGGTTTTACAGACTTCCACTTCCAATCATTCAGGGAAAAAAAAAGCACCAGGAAAGTGCACCGAAACATTAAGATGAAATATGGTGCATAACTTCTTGTTGGACATCAATAAACTTGGGAGTAAAATTACTGCTGGACACCAAGAAATATGGAACAATGAATAGGGTGGCTTCTTGGACATTAAAAAAGACGAAAAAGAGTGTAGGGGTAACTGACATATAACATTTACATAATTTTTTAGTTAAATTACAGTGCAGAGCTTCTCATCGGACACCAAAAAATATTTACATACAGTATAGTGCCTGACTTTCCATTGGACATCAAGAATATTTAACACTATGTAGGACTTCTTGTTGGACACCAAGACAATTAACACAAAGAATAATTTCCTATTGGACATCAGGAAATGTAAAATATATTAATGTTTCAATTTTCTGTAACTAATTTGTTTAGCATAAAATTTTGAGGATGTGAAAATCAAATAAGCCAGATTAGGTACTTTTAAATTAAACCTGTTTATCATAACTTTAAAACTCGTGATACCAATTTTTTTGAGACAAGTTTAAATACTGTAGGATATTCATTACACATCCTAATCTCACTTACATGGGACATTGTATCACTGAAGGAAACTATTACTAATGACAGGGGTTCACACACACACACACACACACACACACACACACACACACACACACACATTCATACACCAGCAAACAGCAACACTGACGACTTGGGGATGTCTTTAAGGGTACAAATGTTGCAGATGGTACAGTAATATTGGTTCTGTAAATGGGTGAGGGGGGGACACAAAACTGTACGTGGGTGGATAATAACACTGGATAATCGAGCCCAATGATACACCTTTACTACAGTACTGGGAACAAAATGGTATACAACAGTACTTTATAATTGTTGGAATCAAGAAAGACTCACCTCGCATCAATTAACCTTGTATGTCCATCTTTGAAAGCTTGCTAAACAATGCAAATATATTGACAGAGTATATATGATATGTGGTCAGTGGGTATAGTATCTAAAAAAAGTCTGTTGATATTCATGGATTTCCCTAAACCATGTGAACATTCTAGTTACTAATACTGTAAACTCAGGCCTCACATGCAATATAACTTCACACACTGGAACTTTTGGCTCGCTTCAAACCTCTTCTTGAGCTAGGTACTTAATTTGTGTTCGTTATAAAATAAAAGTTAAACGATAACATATAAATAATTGTGCAGTTATGGTAAAGTTCATTAAATATGATTAATCCATTCTTATTTTAGCTTAAATGATAATACAAATAAAGCTACTTGTGATGTTATTTTTCTAATACCGTACTGTGTATGTAGATAATACGTACAGTAAAAGGATACAGTATTACACACAACTATTCGATTACTCTGATACTCTTTAGTAATAATTGAGAATATAGTACAGTACTGTACACAGATTTTACTGCATGTAAAATTCATATCGATAATCATGTTAAAAAGGGATATGTGTACAGTACAGTAGTGTACTTGTAGTCTCATAACCTGAGGCCAAAATATGCAATACACCAAACTAATGTACTGACATAAGAAATTAAATTTATCTAGTGGTTGGAAATTGTACTAAAAAGAGCAAAATTGTTCTGAAAAAATAAATAGCAAAACCTGATGCAAATGTGACTACATAATTTTGCATGTACTGTACTGCTGTACACTGAGGTAGTTTTCTTTGTTATAATATGTTGAGTATTTTGTTCCTAACTAAAATTTCACACAAGAATGACAACAATTAAACTACTGTACTGTAAATACATAAACATCTTTGAGGTTCATGTTGCCTTTGCTGGCTACCCGGTATACAGTGGAGAATTTTTATATACAAGATAATATTCTATCAGTTAATGAAATATCAAGCACAGTAACTAATGAAATGGACTTCCTGGGAAATACTAATGATGCAGAGTAATAAAGAAAATCCACTGATATGTAATATTTTTAAACTTAACTATGATGATACAACAGGGAATACTGTAGCTAATGAGTTGTTAAAAAGATTTAAAAACATAAACATGTTGGAGATCACTATACTATTCCTAGTCTTTTATACAGTAATTAAAATGTCTAATTTAGGTGTACCGAGAAAGCCGAGTTCACACATATATAAAGAAGTCCAGTAATTTCCTAAAAGTAATACTGTACTGTAATGATAAAATGGATGGCGAGATGCTGACAGTATAAATGAAAACCCTAAACTGACACTCACTCACAGTACAGTATATGAGCCAACAGTTCTCTTTCACTTACACAGTACAGTACAACTTGGACACTACTTACTTATCTAATTTGAGAGACTTCACTTTGGATACATGAGTGCCTAGTCTTCTGTGCCAGGTTGCACATGTTGTGCACAAAAATACACCTATGTTGAATGATGACCATTCTGGATCTGTAAGAAAAATACTGTATGAGGAACATTATCAAATTAGTGTAGCTTTTCTATTTATACCCAAATAATATTAGAAGAAATATTACCCTAAGCCAGTGGTAAACAGATACGTACCTTACTTGCTCTCACAGTTTTCTCAACATTGTCAATAGCTCCAAACATTTAACTATACATATTCTTTTATACCAATAACCCACACTAAATATACTGTAGCTATGTCACTTATGCAAAACAGACTCGGTAGTGAATATAAGAAATACAATACCTGTAGCTACATATTTTAGTGAAAATTAAAATTCTCCCAGGAACCTAAAGTATTCCTATGGTAGTTAAATACACATGTGTCTAATTTACCTTTTATAGGACCATGAAAGACCACAAACTGACAACAGAGGATAATATAATACTATATTTCAAGAAATTGTGTCAAGTGAACCCAATTTCGCTCCTCTTGTCATTCTTATCACAGAGCAATTTTATTTATTTTTATTTTATTCATCCTTCCTCCACATCTATGGACACATGTGTTATTGTTCTACATTACTGTACAACTGTTCACCATCTGTAAACAATGGAGATGACTCCAGGGCAATTCATAAATCACATCCACACTCTTATTATTACTCCCGCTATAGGTGTTCCGTTGGTATTGATTACAGCTCTACTGATGTTGCCCAAAGTTCATGAAAACTTGTGCTGGTATTAAAGAGAGCTCTAACATTGGTAAATCCTTGGTTTTAGGGGTTTCATAAATGCTTTGTCTGCCATAGTAGTACTACTGTATTTACCCCTGGCTCCCAGTTCTCTACACAGAACTGAACCTTTATATACGAAACCCTAACTCATTTTGAGGCTCATTGATGGTAAATGTTTTTTATTTATATTTTTTTTACAGATGCAGTAAAGACTCACTATTGTTCCATCAGTAGCATGTTTGCCTCTCATCAATACGTCCCAGGTTCAATCCCGGGACAGATGTGAAAAGGGTGTTACCAGTATCCAGCGTGACCCTACCATACATCACAGGCTCTTACTGGGTATGTACTGCACTCTGGTTTCCTCGTGTACTATTATTAGACAATGAAGGTCGTCACAAAGAACCGACCTACTGCCTGAATGGCTAGTACACTGACATGTGGTGAATATGTTAAATTAAATGTCTATAATATACTAAGTCATTATGGATCATGACGTAGCACACAAAAATAACCAACTAAAGCATTGTATCATGGTATGGTGCGTATGTTATTCTGTTCCAAATTAACATAAGGTACCGTACTGTATGTTTCGCTTGGTCTGTCACTCATTATATCTTCCACCTGACCTCAAGTGACAGTGACATGTTGCACTTGATATGATTTTATTATGTAGTGAATATTAAACCCTTATCAACATAGTAGAGAATACTATAATTATATTCACATAATACTCAAGAGATTAGTGCTGGTCACAATCACAATAATTTGCTGGTTCTTAAGAAATAGCTAAAAACACCAACTTAGAAATACATGAAATGAAACTAATACTGTACAGGTAATCATAGTGGCATTTAGCTTGTTACTACATCTGATTAGAATTCAATCCCATCCACATCTACATACTACACAAGTACTTTACTGAGAAATGTATTACACAATAAATTGTAAGAATATAATATAGTGCTCCAGCTTGAAAGGTAATTAAAGAAGCAAAATTATTTTCTTAGTTAGACCAACAGGATTAAAGTCTAATGTTATAATAAAAGCTAACCTTTCTTACAGCTAAATTTTACATTCATGTTACAAGCTATGCACCACTGCCTTTTTATTGATTACAGGAACTTAACATTAATTCATATTTAATTCTAACTGTGACAAATCATATACTGTACTGTACAGCCATTAAAAATACTGTACATTACCTGGTACAGTAAATACATTAGTGAAGAGGCCTTACATCTCTCTAAACTGGGACAATTTTTTTCAGAGTGATTACAGCAACGACTGGTAGTGCTCAGTAATAAGGCCCCTAATGATGTACACCAGGGGTCAAAGGTTTGTTCCCTCCTAAACTGAAGCAGGATTGACCCCAGGTGAGATAAAACAGCACAACCACACTAATCGACAGTCAAGGTAAGTTCAGAGACTCATTCCTGTACGAGTACCACAAAGAAATCCTAAATGTATGGTCATCTGTATTGTGCACTGAGAGACACCACAACACTTCTGTGCAGTACACACAACCTACACCCAATAATATATGGTGAAACCTCCAAGCAGCACCACAGAAATGGGGTATTATTTTAGTTTCAGTCATACGGGGAAATCAGTTAGGTTACATTAGTTTAGTTTGGATATCTAAATACACAGGGATGACAAACTAAAATTTTTACCAGAAATGGAATCCGTAATTGTTAACGGGCACAGCTAAACAAATGGTTTTAAATCTTCATAAAACACGTTACTTGAATCAGTTGAATGTACAGAACTGTGTTTATAGTTAATGTATTCTGTGTTGGAACTGTCAAATAAAAAGGTTCATCTATCAGCCTTGAACAAAGGCTATATGTACTGTACATTATGGAGGTCACAGTAGAGTAACACATTTATTCTCAAACTGGTAAAACAAGCCAACCAGACCCACCTAGGCTTATCGAAAATGACCATAAAGGACTCTCTAATTGTTAGAAAGGTTGTGTAAAGATTTCCTGGTTCAGTTTTGCCCATTTCAAAAGATTTTCACTGAAGATGAATACAATATCCATATTTTAAAATTCTAACACCAGATCCATTATTAGCACATTAATATTTCAGTATTAAATGTTCTATAATCAAAATCCATAAAACCCTAAGTTAATTATGCCCTTCCTGAACCACTAACGTGGAAACACACATCAAGTGTACAGTCCATAGTGTCTTTCTATCTATCTACCCAAGGTTATAGAAATCAACAGACTTGATTAGGGGGTCCAGGGAGCCTGCCTTGGGTATAGTGGGCAGACAATCCTAGATTTTAATATTTTTGAGAATGTTTATACTGCGGTGTTTAAATCAAATGTACAAATCTATAGCTAAAATGTTATATTTACCTCCCTCATTGAATACTCTAAAGCCCATAAGTGAAATTTTGAACCAAAATCTCATATGACCTTACAATTAGACAACCCAGCTTATTTCATATGATTAAACCCCTTTGGCAATAAGCTGGGGTGTCTAATCTTCAGGTGATCTTAACATCCCTATGTACTTCGGGTTAGTGGAAACAGCTGATGCTCTCAAAGGCCTTGTTACACATGATATTGGCAATTTATATAAAAAACTCAAATCATCTAAACCTCATGATGTTAGCTTATTTTCTGGTTGTTTGGTTTAAGTATGAATTATATTATGTACACTGGTAAGGCATCCAAGACTACATAGAGTCCTAATTTGTGTTGTTAGGAGCAACTAAGTGGATGTGTGGGCGAGACCTCACATACATCACTCTGAATTTATACAACATTGAAATTCCACGACTGTTTCAGATGATATGAAGTACACAGTAAATCCAGCACAGACGGACATACTGACAACTACGTTACCCTGAAAATAAATGTTTTGGGTGATGGTTATAAAGTGGCACTCGTAAAGACTCCAGTCACTTGTGCAGGGGATATAACACAACCAACAAAGGTATGTATGTATCTGCACTGTATTATGCTTTGTTCCTCGGCTATTTCTGTCCTGTGTGTGTGTGTGTGTGTAGCCATTATTCTACCCTACAGATAACTAGTGACAGCTCACCATCTCTAAATGTCACCCAAATTTAATTGACCTTTATTGCAGTAATTTAATACAGACTGGACCTGTGAAGTTTTAATACCGGTAAAAATGTGTGTATTATTATTAAGGCTGTAGCAACAGTAAGTCGTGTTAAGATAATCATACGTGAGGAGGGAGACATTATCAACGTTTGACAGCATGAGGTAAGGGGCGAGAGCCACTCCCAGTGCCTCTATGAAAGTACACATCAAATGTTACCTAAAAACCCGTCTGTCCATCTTACTTTGGAATCCACAATCCGCACAATCGCTGTTCCCTGACTGTTTCACCAATTCACAGATCCTGCGGGAGTTTCTGTCACCCATGATGTCTCCACTAGGCACTCACACAGCTACACTGGCATATTTTCAGACTTTGCGGGAGTCCACTTCCCTTCCCTTGCTCTCGGTCACTACTACTGCGATGTTGACTACACTGGCCCTCACATTTTTATTTTATTAATTTGATTCAAAATATCGTTATTATATTCATGAATTACTTGGGTGCGATATATTTATAGCGATTATATATCTCATGATGTGTATAATCCTTTAAAAAACTGTCTAAAATAGGTAATTTAATGTGAAATAAAGTCTACAGGATTGACGCACCCTCATGACGTCACTGTTTAGTTGCCGGTACGCTTATTGTAGCCTATATTTTTCATTAAATCATTAACGCTTTATTCTTGTCGAAACTTACGTACATATACAATATACATGTTTCACTTTAGTTTGTCCTATACATTTAATAAATTACAATCCTACTTGCGTATTTCGAAAGTCTCATTCTGTAGTACGAATTCTCAGAAGGGTTGAACTGTCCAGACCTTGTCTGTGATCACTAATCTTTGATAACTTTTGACCCAAGTGGCTGATGGAGCGTTAATAACACTATGTGTGATTCATCATACAACTACACACCATACACGACTTCATTGATAGAGTAAATTATTCCTCGAGTAATCATACCTGTTGCTCAACTACAAACATCTTATTATTGTATAAGACCATCGTTATGGCCATCTTGATGATGGTGAAATAATATGAAAATAATGAGCAAATGTGTGACATGTGATATCAGTCACTGCTTTCTTCCCGAGCCGAGACGTGCGTGAGTCACATTACGTCAGTGGAAATGCTATGGTGTGTGTCCAGATCACGAACTACATAAGATTTTTGTTTAAAACTTTTCTCACAATAACTATCTCCTCTAACGGTAATTTTTATGTGAAATCACGACTTTGATAAATACTAAAATATATGAACAGGATCTACTATACCTCGGTTATCAAAAAGGCGTATCAAGCAATGGTTGTATTCCTCTCGCCCCGGAAGTGTTCAAGATCTTGAGATTCACCCTCATAATAAAAGACTTGTTCAGTTCAGTTATTAACCGGGACTGGCACACCCTTGATAGAGGTAATGTCGTTCACACTCGCTCGATATTAGTGTAACTTCATAAGTAATGCATCGAGGTTGCTTGTGGAGTCTCATATGGGCCAGCAGAATACCTATACCATGACTGCCAGGGAAGGTTTACTGTTAAATCTTCCTTCATTACCGGGGAAAATATTTCAGAAGGACCCCTAAGCACTGACGCCCTTGCTCAGAATCAGAGGGGCAGGGAGAGGCAATGTACAAGGTGTGTAAGAATCTTTTAGAACATATTCATTAAATCATGAAATCAGTCAATGTTTGTAAGTTTACGGCACAGCAAGTTGCCTCTTCCAACGAAGTATAGATGAAATATTTATGAAGTTGACTCCATTACACTATGTAGCAGAACCAATAAACATACTGTACATATTAAAGAGGAGATCCTCGTTGTTTAAACCAGCTGTAAGCGATACTGGTGGTGGTAATGTAACATGTCTGTTTCAACAAGTAAACTCTTTAACCGCATGCTCTAAGTTACATCATGCACTGAAGATCAAAGTTTGAGGATCCGCTAGACTACAAATTTCATGGATATTTTTAATGTTACATGATGTTGCTAACGAAAACATTCCCTTGGATGTTTCTTCTACCGCGGCGGATTGAGAATGTACAGGTACTGAGAAAGTATCAAATAATTATTGCACGGGAAGAGGTGTAGACAAAGATTTTTGCTTCTGTCAGGATGGAGGTACTTAAAATACCCTGGGGTGTGGTAGTGACGCGCCCGAGAGCCAAACATTCTCAGAGTGAAACTGTCGCTTAGTGAAAGTAACGACACACACACACACAGCTGGGGATTCTTTGCGTTGTTGCTGTCACTAAGCTGGCGTGTTTGTCTACATCCACGTATCAGTTTTTTGTCCATTGCAAACACAGCAAGTTTAGCGGCTTTGCCACTATCTGTCTCCTATGTTTTGGTGAATCTATGGGTTATACACAGATCGGGCCCGGCGCTCAATTAATATTTGCTAGAGCTGGGTATATATTACCTGTGTTCAAAGCAAATGGCCTTCATACACGCCAGTTTAATTTGGTAATACGCGTGTGTGGTGAGCCGCAGCGTATGACAACATAAACTAGATCTAACACTGTTGGGCTAGATTAAGCTGGATTTAAATGACCCGTGTCCCCTGTCGTAGTTATTTTTGTACACGACAGGCTACGCATACTCTGCTCTCTAAGAAAAATAAATTAGAGCTGGACCCGCGTCGGTTGCACCAGCCTAATTTAGTATATCCGTGTGTTACTAGTCTGGCTAATTTTAAATCGTGTCCGTGAGGGTTGGGGAAAATGACAACAGCGTCTGAGGCGAGGAGGACTATAAGCGTACGGGGGGAAGTTTTTGCGTTAGTGTATTCTCAGTAGATGAAAGTTACCAGGGCGGGTGGAGGCGGTGGCTTGTCGATGCGAGAGATATATTAGATAACTTGAGAGAAAGCGAGAGTAAAAAGAAAGAAGCACATAGACGTATTAAAAAGACACAAAACAACCATAAACTCCCAAAGAAAAACAGGGAAAGAATTGAGTAAGAAAAAAAATAAGATATTTACATTTATTACCATTTACCAATTTCATTCTCACGCAGCAGTAAAGTAGAAGTTAGAGGTGGTGTGTCACGGGAGGTGGACGACCCCCTTCAGTACAGGGTGGCAGGTGCTTAGTGATGCTGCGGGTGTAGGTGTAGGTGTGGGATACAGGTATGGGTGAGTGAATGTAAGTGACAGTAGGGTCTTGTTTCCTCCGCCCCTGTACCATAGCGTGTTTGTACTGGCTGTAGGTTTTCCTCCCTCTGACACCCCCAGTCTCCACGCACATACGTAATTCTTCCTTCCTTCCTCCTTCACTTACAGCCTCTTTCCTCCTCGTACACCCACGTCATTCTTCCTTCCTCTTTCACTCACTTCCTCACAGCCGTGTTCCCTCCCACACTCACGCCATCCTTCATTCCTCCTCCACACATACTTACATCTGCCTCTACGCCCACACACCGCCATGTCGCCCACCCCCCCTCCACACCCACACACCGTGTCACCCCCCTCTCTCCCGCCCGTCATGTCTCCACGCCCACACTGTCTGTGTCTACCGTCATGTCTCCCTTCCACTCTCCCCTCCACACACACATACACTGTACACACACACGTTACCACATTTAATAAGAACTTAAGGGCGGGCGTAAGGCAACACCACCACTGCGCTACACTTACACCCACGGTACACTAGATGGCACATTGTACGGTACAGTAACACATAAGGTTGGTATGACGGGCGAGGGGGGGTGTTTCAGTTGGCTCACAGGTTAACACACACACATATACACAAGCACTAGCGACCTTTATCACAAATTCTAGCCACGTTCCACTATTTGCCTCCCCCCACCCACATCCCTCCCTCCCTACCTCACCCACCCATCACCCCGGCCCAGACCTTGAAACAGTCACACAACTATTACTGGCATTTTCTCTGTTATAAATTCCATAAATTAAGGATCAAACTCATTCTGTAAATTGTCAGGAAATACTAAGTTACAGATAACACAGCCAACCCCCCACCCCTTCACCCCCGGACTGTAAGCGACCAAGACAGCAACATTCTCACATTTATTAAACTACATAAAAAAAGGTATCTCGTTCATGTGTGTATAGAAGGGTGTGGTTACTGAGAAAAATGTATGATAATTTGTTCCTTGAATTGGGATTTTAGAAGGTGAATTTAGTTATGGGTAGAATCCCTATATAAAATAAACGCTAATTTGACTCCCTATCGTGGCGTATAAAAAACTTTTGAGAATTTATTTTTGCGTCAGGAGAAAAATTTACTCACGAACATTTGAGAAATTCCTCTTATATATTGCATTAAAATAAGTTCTCACATCTCCAGTTACTAAGAGAAAAATAAACACGTAAGAACCGTTAAGAATCTATGAACGGTACACACACACACAGTCAAACTTGAATGTCAACTTTTTAAATAGATTTCCTTAATATCTTCGTTAGTGAGGCAATTTTTTATAACATTTATTAATCATGGGTGCCGGAAATAAATGCTTAGGTTTTTCGCCTCACGGAAATGTCAACACCGAGACACGTAATATAATAATTAAAAGCTGCTTCAGTTTTTCCCACAATTCAGGGAAAAAAGTAAGGTTTACGTCTGTCGGGTTTTACGCTGCTTAAATCTTCCTATTGTCTTTTTTATACTAATGTAACATATTTATATAAGAGTTAGGACTACTACTGATGATGATGATGATAATATTAACAATGATATCAAAACAATAATAACAATACCACCACTACTACTACTACTACTACTACTACTACTACTACTACTAATAATAATAATAATAATAATAATAAAAGTGACCGTAATAACAGTAACACTACTTATAATAAAAAAAATTGTCTTGGAATCTATTTATAAAACAATAACAAAGTACACGTACAACAATATGAAGTACAGTTGTCAGCGACAGGATAGAACGTGAGTGTCAATCTCAGCTAACATTAAAAACACGTCATCACACCAACAACGACATCAAAGTATACAGTTTAGACTTCTGGGTAAGTTGTCTCACCCTGCCACTCCCAACACTCCAGGGTAAGGTTAGGGAAGGGCCTCCACTGTGCACCATCACTAAAAACAAGACAAAGATGAACAAAAAAAAGGTGAGACAGGTTTGGTGTTTGAGTTACTTTGATGTGGTGGTCCAGTCTGGTCTTCAATCCTCACACCTTGATTGACTGGAAGTTGTTATTATTATTAGTGGTTTATCAGATGGTGGTGATAGTAACGCTCTTCAAGTAATGCAAAAATTGGAGAGAGAGGAGTTACTGAGGCAAGAGAAGAGTTATTGAGAGAGCGAAGAGGAGTTACTGAGAAACAGGATTGTTGCTGAGAGGGGGGAGAGTTACTGAGACAAAGAGAAGGAGAGTTACTGAGACAAAGAGAAGAGGGTTACTGAGACAAAGAGAAGAGGGTTACTGAGACAAAG